TTCTTTTTCCTTTTCCATGAGAAGCCTGCTCTTACTTAGGCACAGGACACCAGGGGAGTGTTCACGGTGCCTCCCTTCAGCCCTAAGCAGGGTGCCTAGCTCCTTTGGAGGGGTGTAGGTCCTGCCTCTCTCTCCAGCTTTTCCTGCCAGCTAGTTCCCTGCTAGCTAATTCCCATACCAAACAGGAAAAAAGGTCCCATCTATCAAGGCTTGTTCCATGAGAAATATTTTTACTTTTGGGGTGAGACACGTCTGCCTGCCTTTACTGAAGTATGAAAGCATTTTTTCAAGCATAGGCGCCCTGTCCGGACTTCAGGGAGTTTGCCGTCACTGTGCAGTGTGCGTGCTGCCTTCATTAGGTGGGCACCGCACACTGTCAGTTCCTGATGTTTTCTGATTTCCCTTGCTCGCATCTTTTCTGTTGGGAACTCCTGCTTAGACTGCGAGCTGACCCAGAAAACATCGTTAGAGAAGAATATCACTTATTAACTGTTTAGTATTATTATTTACCTCATGTGACTGAGGGCTAATACAAGATCTCTTATATTTTCCAGTCGTAAGTTTCTGACAGGGTGATTTATATCTCCTGTTTGGCTTGGCATATAGAAATTTAGAACAGTGCAGTGTCCAAACACCGTGTGCTGTTTTATCATTGACTCTTGCCACAAGGTTAATTGCATAATGTTTTTATTAGCACTACACACAGACAGTTAGCAGAAATGCAGCCATCAGCATTCTGGAGGTAACTGGCCTGGGTCAGCATGAAAAGACCAGCATCTAGCATGTCAGGCTACAAACAAACATTGCATTTGTCCCAGGATAACGTGCAGTTGTTCAGATGCCCAAGGCTGAATCCCGAGCTAAATTCTGAAAAGGTTTGCAGGCTCAGTACTAGCAGTTTATCCTGGGACATTACAAGCACATCTGAATGGTTATCCCAGGATTGCATCACTGAATCAGTGACAGAAAAGCAGCAGTGCATTCAGCTGCTCACTGAACCCTGGTTAGAAAGGACGTTTCTGTTCCAGGACGAACATAGGCGCAGCTTGTCCAGAGACAAATGCAGCATCTGTTCCTGGCATCGGAGCACTTGGGCCAAGCCCGTGCATTGTTAGAACTTGTCAGGGGTGCTGGCATTTCAGCGACGCGATAGCTGCAAAGGGCAGCGGGGCTAATTGATAAGAATTTATTTGACAGAAATAGAAGTGCCAAAGAAGTCTCAAATTATTTTGCCCTTTTTAGTATAGTATGTATTTGTGGTCTCTGTGTACAGAGTGCATGTGCACAAATACAGGGAGTTTATTTACTGTTTCTAAATCATAAAGAGCTGCTCGCTGTCCCCTTATCTGCCATAATGCACAAATGAGTGGATTATTGATCTGTAGCAGCAGTCACTGTCAGGCTGAATAGACTGCACAGAAATAAAGGTTACAGGAGTTTGCATACGTTGATTATGCGAGCTTGGCGTTTCTACCGGCAGCTACTCTTAATACCAATCTAATGATACGATGACTGATAATGGCTTCGATGATCTCTTGAGGTCCCTTCCAGCCTTGCTTCTCTGTGACTGTTGCTAAGAGACTGGGGAACAGAGTACCTGTAAGACAGCTCCAAACGAGATGATTTGTCTGGGGCTGAGAATCAAGCTTGCAATAGGAAGTGAATGATTCTTGAGCCTAGTACTGACAACTGCTTGCATATTTCTGAATTTATTTTTTACACTTGACACTAAATAACTAGCATATACTGCACTTGCTGACATGGCATGTGAGAGGTCTTAGTGGATGGAGCAGAAGAGGTGATGCCAGAAGCTTGCAGTTGTAATCTTGGTTGTATCCTTCACTAGCTGTGTGGGTTTGAGCAAGCTGCTTAATCCACATCTGTTTCCCTGTTTAGAAATCTGATTGTTACTTATTCACCCCCTCACAAGGACGTTGTTAGGATTAGTTAGAGGTGCCAAAGCATTTCGTTTCTGTAAAGAACTGTTTACTGTCTTAACGTCCTCCTTCCTTGAAGCGTCTGCTCTGACTGTCCCCCGTGTCCGTAGCTGAAGTACTTGTCTGAACTCAGCACCAGTATGGGAGGATGAGGGCTAGCTGGAAATGTTGTTGGGGTGGCTGTGGTGTGGGATGAGATGTCAATCTTCTTTCATGTGCTTAAAGTTACTATCAGAGTTTTAAGACTTTAATCATGCCTCATTTTTCTCCCTGCCCACTGTGCAACTCCCCCCTCTATACATTTCAAAAGTACAACCATTATCAATGCTCCATTACAGCAGAGTGCACCTAGTGCGGACGGCCATGTCCGAGTGCCAGAGCATCCTTTCCATTTCACCGCTGCAGTCACGTCTCAGGAACCAAACCTGCGTGGTAGCTACAGCTGCCCAGACAACAGCTGACACCTACAGAGAAAAGCCCAGGAAATTCTCCCTCAAAAACTTTTAACATACAGCTGCCCACTGGTATCTTCAACTGCAAGTTTAGCAAAACACAGGTTTCTGAAAACCAGGAAGTACCGAGGTGACATGCTTGAAGAAGGGTGTTTGTGGCTGAAAGCCTGCAAAGAACAGTTTTTCCAACTATTTAGTTGGTCTAATAAAAGATATCGCATTTACCCAAAGAACCTTGCGTGCCGCATCTCAAAGTGACTTTCACTTTGTCCTGTACGGGCAGTGCCTCCCAGTATGACTCGCCCGTGCCCGCTCCCTTCGTAGATAGGACAGAGCATTCACGCAAGAGGGCGAATGACCACTTACTGGTATAACCGAATTGCTTCTTTCTGCCAAGACAGATCTGGGTTTAGGTGAGTTGCTCTGAAGAAAAAGATACCTACATCCAGACATTGAATCTGCTCACAGGGAGCAGCACTACCTGCTGAATCCTCTCGAAACATCTTCTCCCTTAATGCTCTGCACTCCCTCTAACCCTATATTTCCACTTAACCATCATCGCACATCCCTGGTGACGGACCCCAGACCACTGTGTATTGCCATGGCATTGTATTGCCATGCTGCTACTGTGTAGCGCGCAGAACACTTGAATGTACGGTATGTGGTGCTGCAGACATGCTGCACGGCCGCTCATCTGGATGCAGCCAGGGTGTGTACAGAAGTTGCCATTCACTTTCAAAACACTTTATTGCCACGACTTAACGGGAGTGCGTGGCTATACAGCACTTTAAAAATGGGTATGGTGCTTTAAATTAATCCCTGTTAAATGAGGTATTAAATGCAAAGCACTGTATCTTGCAGCATGTTGGCAACCTGCAGGGTTGTAAATAACTTTCATATGCTGGTTGAATTTGAGACCAGTAGAGAAGCCCCAGGAGGCTGTGGCGGCACCCCCCGCCCCTGCTCCCTATCCTGGAAAGGGCAGGGAGGCTCTGAGCCCCTCCTTCCTGCCTCCCAATGCTGCACTTCTGTCATGTTTAAGAGCGCTGTAACTTTATAGTGCTATAAAAAGTGCTTTAAATTACAAAGCTGTAAAACGTGCCCAGAACACTTCCGTATACACCCTTAACGACTCCCAAAATGTAAACTCCAGGGATGCAGACAGAAGTGACAATTTTCACCTGATCTGGCTGCAGCAATCAGTTCATAGCTGTGACCAAACACAAGTGCACACCTGCAGACAGCTTCAAAAACAGCCAGCTGGATAACAATCTCACCCCTCGTTGCATGAGGTATCAGGTGAAGACATTTCAAAGTGTGGCGCTTTCTGTAACTTTTGTCTGCTCTGCCTGCTAGCCTCTCGCGGTCTTCAGAATGGGAGCGGGAAGGGAGCGGTCAGTTGGGGGGTTTCAGTCCGTCCCCCCGGGGGGTGGGGCAGGTGTATTGGACCCCCTCCCCCCCAGGCGAGGGGGGCTCCAGTTCACCCACCCCACCCTTCATGTGTGAAACCCCCCTGGTCAAACCCTGTTCACGCTCCCTTCCAGCAGATGCACGCTGCCCGTGTGACACAGGCCTGTTTGTTGCCTGAGAAGAATTGTGGAGCAGCGCCCACCAAATAAACTATTAGCCTCCTTCAAACAGGGAGGCTACTGGCAAGGTAACAACTAATTGCTTGGGACAACTGAAAACAAGGGGGATGGGAATGAGGTGAGAGGTTTATAATTAGTGCACCAAGGGGGCTCACCGAGCAGAGCTTGCTGGACAGTGCCCGCTGGAGCCAGTGGATGCTGCCCAGGAAACTCTACCCAGAAACAGGATCAGACCAGGGATGGGAAACTGCGGTCCCTGGGGGTCTTCCCAGCCAAGGCCTCCTTCCTGGTAAGATATAGCACTAGCTTAGGCAGGAGCCAAAGGCACTAATAGACATAAGGCAGCGTTCCTTTCCTTTTTCATGTCTTTGTGTGACGAGGTATTTAGCAGAATTTGCACTTTTGTTGGACTCGGACAGGGCCGTGCCGTGAGCGCTTCTGCTGCGGCCTTGAACTTGCCCTCTCTGGGCTGCCAACCCTGCACCTCAGCGCCCGCACCACTCATGATCTGCCTGGTAAAAGGCAATTCTTATGTTTTTATGAAGTGTTGGGATGCTCTGGAGCTAGGCACTTAAGGCATCAGGCAGGAAGAGCCTTGATTTTACCTCCCGTTTCCTCTGCTGCCAGGGGAGGTATGTCAGAAGAGATCTCAGGTTTAATAAACTTAGGGCCACTTAACAAAAATGCTGATTCCTGTCTCTTACTTAATTAGCACTTCCAATCACAATGCCTGCTACTTAATAACGAGAAAAATGTCTTACTTATAATGAAACAACTTTAAAGCAGTATATTCTTTGCTAACTGTCTGGGTAGGGAACTTGGGAAATTGGTGTTAAGATTGAAAGCGAGTTACTCACTTGTGTCGCACTTTGGTGTCATGTTCCACATCTGTGACATTTTAAGTGCACTGTTAGACTTGAATGAATGTGCTTGCCTGTAAAACAAATTACCCTTATGATATATTTATTCAGATATTTGCAAGTGACTTAATCCCCTGAATATTTTCTTCATTTTGTTTTAAGCTTATTCTCAGCCAGTGGATAACCATATCAGTCCTCCTGCCTACCTGGGGCAGTCACTGCCACCAGCATCCCCAGGGAGATATTCCCCAGTTCCAAAGGGGATGCTTGGAGATGATGAGATTACAAGGTAAGGAGCTGTTCAATCCATACTTTAATTCTACATTGTGTTAGAGACTTGAATCAGCTTTCCCACAGTAATGCTGCATAACAACAATATATCGATCAGTTCAGAAACAGTAGCCGGGAAATCTAAGAGCCTGTGTGTAAATGGTCCAAATGGTGTTATACTTCCTCAGGGATTTGGTAGGAGATTGCAGTATACTCTTTACTCCACTTCTGGTGAAGTTGTCCCACCTGGTGTCTACGCCTGTTCCTTTCCTCACAAATTGGGGCAACTATAGTTGGATCCGGGCAAAAATAGGCCAGTCAGCCTAACTCCATCCCAGGGAACATCCTGGAAAAGCTCATTAAAGCGTCTATGCGCGGTACGCTCACGGAAGGTAAGATCCTGAACGACAGCCAGCATGGCTTTGTGGCCAGGGGGGGCCCTCAGAGGGCGGTGCTTGGACTGGTGCTTTCAACATCTTTATCAAGGGTTTGGATGGGGGAGTGAAAAGCTCACTGGCCACATTCACAGACGACACCAAGTTGTGGGGCAGGGTGGCCACGCCAGAAGATAGGTTGCAGATACAGGTGGACCTGGACAGGCTGGAGAGCTGGGCAGACCGGAACCAGATGAAGTTTAACACTTTCAAGTGTGCGGTGCTCCATCTGGGGGCAAACAACCCTCAACATACATACAGGCTTGGAGGTGACAGCTTGACTTGCACCACGGCCAAAAGGGACCTAGGGGAAGTGATCGACCATTGCGTGAACACAATCTGGCAGTGCGATGCTGTGGTCAGCGGGGCAAACAACACACTGGCATGCATCAACCGATGCATCTCATGCAAAACTAAGGAAGTAATCCTCCCGCTGTACTCTGCACTGGTGAGACCCCAGCTGGAGAACTGCATCCAGTTCTGGGCGCCGCACTTCAACAAGGATGTGGAAAAACTTGAGCAGGTCCAGAGAAGAGCCATCCGCATGATCAGGGACTTGCAAGACAAGCCTTACGAAGAGAGGCCAAGGGACCTGGGCCTCTTTAGCCTACAGAACAGAAGGCTGAGAGGGGACTTGATAGCGGCTTACCGCTATATCAGAGAAGTGCATCAGGAGCTCAGTGAGCAACTGTTCACCAGGGCACCCCTGGGGAAGACCAGGACCAATCGATACAAACTCCTGAAAGGCGGCTTTAGGCTTAATACCAGGAAAAACTCCTTCCCAGTCAGAGTGTCCCGACTGTGGAATAAACTCCCTGCAGAGGTAGTGGAGTCGCCTACCCTGGAGGGACCTTGCAGATCATCGGGTCCAGCCCCCCCGCTCTAGGCAGGAAGACAACTGGGGTTAAGTGACCCCAGCCTGCTGCCTGTCCAGTCTCCTCTTGAAAACCTCCAGGGTAGGCGACTGCACCACCTCTGCAGGGAGTTTATTCCACAGTCGGGACTAATTACCCTTTGCTTGGAGCTATTGCCCTTTTTGAGACTGATCCCGGGGCAGCAGCTCACTCACCCCCAGAGCACAGCTTTTCATGGAGGGTACACGGATACCACTGCTATAGGGACTGCCCTGGCTGGCCACTGGTGTCTGGGTGGAGATGAAGGTGTTGGCTCTGACCTGTGGAGCCCTAAATGGCCTGAGTGGCCTACCCAGGAGAAGGCCCCTTCCCCAGTGCCGAGCTGCCACAGCTGCAGTTCATGGAGACATTTGAATTGGTAAAGGATAGCTGGCAGGGTGTTCTTCGTGAGGACTTCAGGACTCTAGAGCATGCTTTCCTTTCTGTCCCTCTTCATCTGGAATTGTCCATGCTTGATGACATTCTAGACATACTGCACCAGCAAAACATACCAGCAAGGATTTTCTCTAATATGCATACAGAAAATTAAGTTTGGCTGTTTTCAAAATTATTTATTTTCCTAATTCTTCATGGTCCTTTAACTGCACTTTGGCTCCTTTCTCTTAAAGGAGAAAAGGTTTTTTGTTTTATTTTTACTTGTGCAGCACATTATAGAAACTGACTGGCTGTTTCATTCTTCAAGTCTGAACTAGCATTTCCCTGCCTTCGTACTAATACCCCGTATCAAGCCATTACAAGAGTTCTCTGGAAGGACGGGAGCTCTGGCAGTGGCAGGTGCCTGAGCAGCACAGCAGCAAGTTGGCGAAGGATCTCGGTAAGGGGCAGCACCTGCTTTCGAGACTCGGCATCCCTGGAATGAGAGCGAGAAACACGAGAATGAAAAGCAAACCTCTGCTTATAAAGTTCAGCTGCTTTTGGCTTCTCATGTAAATGGACATCTTGAGAGGAGTGGAATGATCAGTGGCTGATCTTTAGTGCACTCTAGTGATCTTTTCAATGCAGTGCAGACATTTTCCACCTAAAATATGAGACTCTGTTCTCTTTTAGTGAAATTCTCCATTCTCTTGCCTCTGTATCTAGTAACAGCAGTGCAGTCAGTTTTTCCTTCAGTAAAAGCAGAGACACTGTCTAACGGTTCTACCTCATAGCATGACTTTCTGATAATCCACTTCTTTGCCCCTTCTCTTTCGAATCACACTAAAATACTGTAAAATTGCTGCAGTCTGTTTGTTTTTGTATTGTCATGTGAAGTTAATTTGGAGTAACTGCAGCTGAATTCCTTTGGAAAGGAAGGGAGGGGGGTCCTCTGAGAATGTGTAAGCAGTGTTCTTGAATTGCTCCTTATTGTATTCACAACTCAGCCAAAAGTATTTTCACTGCAATGAAATTAATCTGGCAAAAAGTATTGGCTAAGCTTTACTTTTTCCTAGTCTGACTTATTTAGTTGTAGGGAGAAAAATAGTTTTGTGCTCTTAATTTTTGTAATGGCTCATACAATACAAAAGTGGCTCAAGGTATCTTTGAATGTTGTTTGCCTTCCTGATCAAGTCCTTCAGAGCAAATATCCACATTCTCACCTTAGAGCCTAACACCTTTTGAACTGACACGGTACCCACCGGAAGCTAACAGCGCTGACGGAGTCTGAACCCCCCCCTGCCGTTCACACTGAACGCGCACGGCTGGATGCAGGCATAGCACGCTTAGAAGAACTGCAGAACCTCGTCTGCATTAGCCCAGGCACTGTCACAGAGGCCTCAGTACTGCAACAGCTCAGTACCGGTCCAGACACAGTCTCATAAACAGTTGCTTTTTTCTAAAGATCAGAGGAGTGGCTCTCCCAAAGTGAGATCAAATGGGAGAAAGGCATTTCTGTTGTCCTCTCATTAGTATCATTTGACACACAAAAGAATATTGTCACCGGAGGGGTTTTTTTTCCCTTAAGGTAAGAAATGGATGCTGGCTAACACCTAATAAAGCTCATCTAGAATCTGCATTTCAGGAGCTTAGTGTCTTACAAATGACTCCCACTGTACTCCACGCTGGTGAGACCGCAGCTGGAGGACTGCCCTGGGGAAGACCAGGACCAATGGATACAAACTCCTGGAAGGCCGCTTCAGGCTTAATACCAGGAAAAACTCCTTCCCAGTCAGGGTGTCCCAACTGTGGAATAAACTCCCTGCAGAGGTGCTGCAGTCGCCTGCCCTGGAGGTTTTCAAGAGGAGACGGGACAGTCACCGCACTGGGGTCACCAGTTGTCTTCCCGCCTAGAGCGGGAGGGCTGGACCTGATGGTCTGCGAGGTCCCATCCAGCCCCTGACAGTCTGCGAATCTACGAAATCAGGAAAGCCCCACAGCACCCTTTAGATGGGCGTGATCTGGAATCTGCAGCTGAATTGACTGACTTGTGAAGACACTTCTCTTAGGTCACAGGAGGATGTAATGACAGAGTGAGGAAGAACGAAGACCTGTCCTCTTCCAGTACTCCGCGTTCTTCCTTTATAATCACCCTCAAGACGGGTGCTTCACAAAAGGTTATGAGGAAATGTTTTTTTTGTTAGAGCAAGCCGACAGTGTAAACCAGACAGGTAGGAAATAAAAGATGAAGTGCAAGATCTGGAGTCAGCTGAGTCAGTGAGAGAAGTGAAGATGAATAGGGGATATAAAAGAGACAATAAGGAAGACTGTTTTCTGCTTATCATGTGTTTTCTTAGTTTCCTTGTGCTGTTGGGATATAGCTGTCAAGTCTTGCCTTATACTTAAGTTACTACCTCTCTTGAGACCAGGAATCTTGTGTGCACTGCATCTATCACAGTGGCCCCTGCTGCATGTGTGTGGCTGTTAATCATTGAAAAAGTGAAAATAATTGTGTAAGAGTAGAAGTGCAGGATGATGTGAAACTTGAACTGCACATGAAATCATAATAATTAGCTGAGAAAATGTTTCAGTTCTAGGTACACTGTATAGACTAAGGTAAGGGTGTACCTGCCATACAACCTGGGCATTTTGTATATCTAGCCAAGGTGCTCTGCTGTATGGATTTTGTCAGGGCTTATATCTATCTATCTAGATAGATCGGTATGTGTATCTGTCTGTATGTATATCTGCTTTTTCGGCTATAATTCATGGTAAGTGACTCTCTCTTCTGCCTTTTAGGGAACCTAGAAAAGTTGTCCTACATCGAGGATCAACAGGGCTTGGCTTCAACATCGTGGGAGGGGAAGATGGAGAAGGAATTTTTATTTCATTCATCCTAGCAGGAGGCCCTGCTGATCTGAGCGGGGAGCTCAGAAAAGGAGACCGTATCATTTCAGTAAGTGTCAAGATTTTGAAGAATGTTTTACCTTTCCGTCTTTTGACCTGCTCTGTTGTTTACATGACTCATTGCACTAAAATCTAGTTACAATGTAGTTAGTCTGAACTGGAGACAGCAGGATTTAGGACTAAGTATCATGCTTCATGTTAATCAGATTTGGATTCAGAGCCTCAAATCTCAGTGCTGAGGGCATATCATGCACACTACAGTTCATATACTTCACGTTGTATGTTTTATTTTATATTTGCTGTTTTAAAATAGAGAGAGAGTTTATTATTTGGCTCCCATAAAACTGGGTAAGTGGACAGACCGTGCAGGTTTCTGTCTGGTACTCAGAAAGGATGGATGAAGCAGTGGTTTGGACTCTGGGCTGGGACCTAGGATATGGGGTCTTGTGAACCCAGCATTCATTCCTGCCTGCGGCAGGGGGTCAGGCTAGATGCTCTGTTCAGGTCCCTCCTGACCCGAGCTACTATGAAACTAGGTGGCTATAGTTCCTTGCTTCTGCACCTGTTCTCCATGTGATTATCAGCAAATCACCTGCACAGCTGCAGTTTTTAATGCACGTGCATAGAGGTGTTGTCTGTGGGTCTTGAAAATACTGCAGTAATGGAAGCCATGTAAGAAAGAAAGATGACTTAGCAGCAGATTGCAGGGTAGTTGGCTGCAACTGAGGTGCTCCGAGGTAGCTTTTTTGAACTATGTGGAATAGATTAGAGTCTGCATTTTCTCCATATGTCGTTTCCAGTTCATAGGCCTATTTTATTTGCTTTCTTTAGATGCATAATCTTCTACAGGTTCTTGGTTTGTACATACAAACACAACTTCAGGATTTATATTTTATCCTTGAGATATTATGGACACTGAAAGTAAGCAAATTAAAAATTATTTAAATGGATTATAGTGAGGACTAATAACAAAAATACAATGCAAATCTAAATGCCAGAGGGGAATTGAATTGCACTTCTGCATCACAAAACCCAATAGAGCACATAATAGTAAAATGCATTTTAAATATTAATGACATTTTATATATTGGGTAACTTATTAGCCCCATCTCAGCGGGCACTAGATGCATTTACATAATTACAGGGCACGTTACAGTAAGTGCACTGGCGTATGTCCACAAGGCCTATAACAGGAAATGAAGTGTTAGCCAGACAGATAGCATCGCTTCTCTCGCAGCACCACTAAATCTTCTTCATATAACCCATTCATTTTTTCCCCAAACCCAATGTTGGTAATAAGAGAGCACATTGTATGCGAGGAAAAGCTTCCTGTGAGTTTGGGCAGCTGGGGTGAGGGGAGCAGTGGCAGCATTAATTGCTGTGGCTCCCATGGGAGCCTTCCCTCCCCTATATCTCCCCAAAATAAAATAAAAAAGTCAGTAAATGGCGTTGGCATGTGGGGTTGGCCTGTGGCTGGACCCTGGGCTCTGGCTGCAGAGCCACGTGCCAAGTCAGACCTGCCATGCAGCTCTGGAGTCTGCGCTCAGGGTTAACCTGCCATGCAGCCCAGCCCTGCCGTGGCCAGATTAGGTGTGCCCCAGTGCTGCCATACAGCCCCCAGTTCTGCTTCAGCCAGACCAGGCCTTGACACACGGCCCCCAAGCCTCCAGCCTAGGGACATGGTCCCCAGCCCCAGGGAGCGGCTCCTGACTCCTGAGCTCCCAGCCCAGCATGTGGCTCCAACCCCTGGGGCCACAGACCTCAGGTCCTTATCTGTACTCCAAAGTAAGATCTGTTTTCCTTCTTGGGGCCTTCCAAAAATATTGTGCATGTCACATTTGGAGGCGGGTTGTGTGAGAAAAAATATTGAACTTCAGTAGTCCTTGTACATTGTTGTTGTCTACACTGGATAAATACCTGCTATTTATTTTATTTCTACGTGGTTTTTCCCAGCAGTTAAAACCTTGTAAACTTGTTGAAAGAAAAATGTAGATGTGCAAAGCTATATGTTGTCAGTTTTTCTGTGAAAATATTAGGAAAAGTTTTTGACAGCAGGTAACATTACATATGCTAAGACAGTTAAATGTAACAAAGTGCAATCCATGTAAGTTCATTTAAAAAAAATCTTTAAAGTTTTGGACTACTCCTGCATCACTAAATAGATAGATATCTGTGTGAGAATGGATCTGTATGCCTTAATTTCAGTATTAAATTCAAGAATATATAATGTGCAATTTATATCAGAGTTGGAAAATCCCTTGTAATGGAATATTTTGTAGCGCGAAGGTTAGGTTGTATCATATATTTTCTTCCATGAGTACACCATGTTCTGTGAGCATTTTCACTAAACAAGAACCTTTACTTCAGTAAAGAAATTACTCCATTTTGCTTGTAGGTTAATGGTGTAGACCTCAAAGCTGCAACCCATGAGCAAGCAGCAGCTGCCTTGAAGAATGCAGGCCAAGCCGTAACCATTGTGGCACAATACCGTCCAGAAGGTAGGAGAAGTGTTCCTCTCTAGATTCATGTTCCACGTGTGTAACTGAAAGTTGTAAAGGTTGCTTTTTCATGGGTGTCAGTTTTTCACTCGTTTCAGGAGGGGAGACATCCAAGCAGTGGGTGTGAACATAGATTCTGGCTGTAATTTCATGGTTGTTCCAGTGACAATCAGGATTACCTGTTGTGTGGTGATGTTCATAACAGTGTTTCATGATGACCCTGACCATTGAGATAAAACCTGCAACTTAGAGCTAACTGGAATTGCCTCCACTTCACAGTCCTCTCCAGACCCCATGAGTCAGGTGGTCAAACCAAAGTTGAACATCCCTTCCTTATTTTGCCCTCCGTAGAAAAAGGAGTGGGAACAGCTGTCCTGCGCTTAGCCGCTGTGAGGAGTTTTGCAGGAGCAAGCAGACTTGGTGTGTGCTGTGGAGCAGCCTCTCCCCTTCCCTTTTCAAAGGGTTTAAAAGGAAACAGTGCACCATTGATTGGAGCGCAGTGGTTTGGTGTTCTGCTGTATCTTGATAAATCACTTTGGTGTCAGGGTAATTGTTAATGACTTGGCACATCAGCAGCATCCAGATGCAGAGTTAATGCTGTGGGTGACCCTCGTTCAGCTTTCTCTGACATAAGTTTCTTGGACTTGCATGCAAAGACGGTGCTGAGAAACCAGATGGCTATGATCCAATCAGAAAACAAACTTGTAGTACCAACTTTTCTGAGGCATTAGTGAGCTAGTGTAACTTTATCATGTTTGTTTTTTTCCCAAGAAAAAAATACTTCTTCATTAGTACTTCTGCTTGCCTTTCTCCTTAACAGTGCTGGCTTGTTATGAACTTCTCCTACTTGGATGGATAAAGTCCAGTATCATATATGTTGCGCTTAAATAGCAGGTGTAAGGGGAAAAAACATTTTCGTAAAGTTAGTGTTCATTTGTTTCAGCATAAAAAGGACGTGTTTTACATCTGGCCTTCCAAACAAGACTGGGCAGAATTGCTTTTCTTGTGTTCTTCTTCTGGTTCCTCTAAACCTATAATAATGGATGCAAGGGAGGGTAAGGAATAAGGGATAGATTACACTAGATCTATCCCAGGGGTCTGCAACCCCCAGCATGGATGCCAGAATGTGGCATGCGAAGGCATTTTGCTTGGCACGTGCACCTCGGGGTGGACAGTGGGGAAGGGGCTGGGGCTGCACTGCCACAACAAGGATTGGGCCCCTCATGGCTCCCCCGCCGTCTGCCCCTGGCACATCAGCATCTTACAAGTCAAGGTTGTGGGCGTTTTTGGCACTCTGCCGACCCTTGATCTATCCAGTTCCCTGTTCTCCCTCCAGCATCTGCTTCTGCCACTGTGGGAAACAGGATATTGGACTAGATGGATCATGGGTCTGACCCAGTATGGTACTTCTTATGTTGTTCTATCACCGTATTGTAGCTGCTTGTGAGGTCCATGGTTACCTGTTTTAAGTTAATTAGGGGTGCAAATGTAGAAGATTCTCCTATTCAGGCAAAGCAACAAAAGCTTCATAATATGGGGTGTCCATAGCCAGGGTAGGGGAAGAATGGGTTAGGAGATCCTGAGAGTCAGAAAAGTGATTTGCTTTATTTGCTGTTCTTCCCCGAGGAGAAAAAATGACCTATTACATCACATTGATCTATTAAACAGTGCTGCTTCTTCATAATAGACATTCCTGGTTTTTTTCTTATAGCGGTATTTCAATTAGCAAGTTCCATTTAGAGTTTCAGCTCTCGAGATGCAGAAGTAGGTCTGTGCTTCTTCCAAAACAAGAATAAGTGGTGAACTGAGTAGTGAGTTGTGGCATTGCCAAAGAATGTTGTGCTGCCGTTTAGTTGTATACAGCTAAATGAAGGTAAAATATGCACTCAACCTGCCAAAGGGCTTGAAGACCTGTGCAGAATGAAAAGAATCAGATTAAACGAGAAACAGAATCTTCAAAAGAGGGCATGGTAGCAATCACTCACTGCCTTGTAATTTACTCGTGTGCAAATCAGGTTATCCTGGCAAAGTCGAGTTAAGTTTCAGGAAAATACCCATTCTTCTGGAAAATGTTGAATGAATCTTCCCAATCATTTACCTCCTTGCAAAAGCCAACTTGTTTAAAATAAGCCAGTTGGTTGGAAGTTCTGAGTGACTTGGTGCATGGCCCCTTTGTTCACTAGAGGGGATCTTCCTGTTTCTCTTCCTTTACTGAGTTGGTGCATCAGCTTTGTGGATAAGGCTAAGTACATCTCGGCTCTAAGCATGACCAAAGGTAGCATGGTATTAGTAAATACAGAGTAGTTGTCAGGTGTTTGTGTAGCAGCTAAACTGTTCATGGAAACTGCCGTTGTCTTGTCCTTCTACTGAGCAACCTTCTTGAAAAAAGAAATACGGCTAAGTGATCTGATTAAACATCCACAGGTGCTTGATGCATCAGTGTGTGATTGAGAAGATGGATCAGGGTGCTAAGAGGAAGATTTTGATGTATTTTGTTGTAAAACTGTGAGCTACCATTTTTCACAGCAGTTCTTGACATAATTTCTCTTGGATTAATTAAATAAAAAGGTAATGTTTCTTTCCTTACCAAGTGCAAAATATTTTCATAGTCCAGTGCATTAGTCAGATCTATGGAGTAATTCAATTAGCACTGTTGATGGTAAAAAAATATTTAAATATTTTTTTTTCTCACTTCATAGATAAAATAACTAATCAATACTCTGAAAATTTGTGGGAAGATGAATATCTACTAAAATATTTTATAATCATTTAAAAGTAATTATTTTTATGGCTACTGTACTGTTGGCAAATGCTTCCTGAAGCAGAAGTGGTGATTTATTTGGTGGTATCCCACTTAGGTTGCTGTTTACCCCGGGTATGCATTTATATCTGGAATACTGTTGAGCCTTAGTTTTGTGTTGACCGTCATTTTGTGTATGTAGTTACATAACACAGTTGAATCCTCTTCTCTTGAAATAATATCCATTTGATGTGTGTATTTCTCAAGTTCTTCCATGTGTAGGGATCTGCAGTAGCTTGCCATGTACTCCTTGTAAAACTCCCCTGAAAGCAGCAGCAATCGAAGAGATTCAAGTATTTACACATTAAGTACTTTTTCTGTGTTCAGTTTGAGATATGCAGCTGTAATTTTTCTACCACTAAGAGTGGGCAGGAAGATTGACATGTTGCCACATTCACTGTAGCTGAAAACATTTTTTAAAGTACCAGTTTCCAAGCTTCCATTATTCTCCTGTTTATTATGTCTGATTCTGCCTAATTGTGAGTGATCCAGAGAAACCAGTTTATAGAACAGATCCTAAAAGTATTCCAGGAATAGAAGGAAAGTTCTGTTAAATATACTCCTGCCAGACAAAAATATAATCAGGTTTAAGTATGAGTTAATGTTATTGAGCTTCTTTCTATGCTATTTTAATGTAGTTTATTTTAAATAAATACTAAATGGTGTACGTACAGTTGTTATTTAAAAAAAAAGTATAGTAAACAGTTTTCTTCTGACTTTGAAATGAAGGGTGGTGTGGAAACCCCTGCCAGGAGAGCGTGAAGGCTGTCCTCCTGGCCTGTTCTGAACTTCTTTGACTCAGCCTTGCTAATGATTGTATGTCCTTATTATGTACAACTTGTGTTGTACACACGTCTCCAGAGTGCGTGAAATAGATACTGGTCTCATGCTAATTCGAGGTCCTCATATAAAAGAATCACTGAGCATTACAGTGATGTAATTAGAGTAAAACCTGGATAATTTTAAAGCAATCCCAAAATGTTAGAAAGTAACAACTTTCCAGGTGTTTATATGGATCTTCCCTTTGTCTAACCTGGACATTTTGTAAATTGAAGGTTATAGTCCTACTTCAGCCCTTAATTTAGTACAAGTTATCTGAGAAACATGGGTATAGAAATTAACCATAAATAACCAGTATTTTTGATGTTACAGTGCCTAAGAGCCCTGGTCATGCATCAGGACTGCCTTGTACTAGATGCATGTATAAATACTGAACCAAAATGCCTTCGAGTTTTCATCTGAGGCAGAAGACAGCAGATAGGTGCAGACAGGCAGGGGAGCACAGAGACAAATTGACCGCTACTGCCTTTCTCTCTTTGTGACGGGCAGCGGGCAGGGGAGTGCAGGAAAACCGCTGCCTCAGCACGGAGACAGACAAAGGCAGCAGGAGTCTTAGCATACCAGCCGCCTAACCGTTGTCAAGTGTTTGCCAGCACCTTGGCAAAGGGGAGAGAGTTAAGAAGCATTTGGAAGGAGGAGAGTGAAGTAACTTTGCTCGTGTTTGAGGACCTGCTCTCAAGTAGGAGGGCAACATGCAAGAAAGCACAGATCATTCATTTGAAGATGTCATGAGTGGGTGCTGAAGGCTGGCACTGGGCTGTTTGGAGGTAGGGGTTAACCTCTTGATGCTGAATGAGGGATGAGAGGTGGTGAGAGAGGAATTGGCCATTAAGATATGATGGCGAAGATCTTCTGTGTGGGGTGAAGGTGAATAAATAGGGAAGCAGTGGACAGGTGCAAAAAGATGGCTAACAGGGTTAAATCAGTTGGCTAAGAGAAGTTCATGAAGCGGCATTCTGGATGGATGTGCAAGGAGCCAGATTACATTTGTCAAGTCCAGAGAAACAAATGTTATAGTAACCAAGACATAGGGTCATGGGCGACTCTTGCCTTCTGAGTCAGGGGGGCACTTGCCCCCCCACCAGTCAGCGACCAGCGGATCCCGCAGACCGGGGCTGGGGGGTCTGCAGGACTTCTGAGTTGTCAGCATCGACTGCGGGGGGGCCGCTTTTCCTGGCACACTCCCTGGCTGGCACTCTTGGGGGGGGCACCAGCACTCTCGCTTGCCCCCCTGCCCAGGAACACTGCTGTTAGGGGTTGCACCAGCGCTCTCAGGAGGTGCACATGTACTGCGTATGTGTCACCACTGCACGGGGTGATAAGAGCCTGGACAACTTTATTACCTGAATGGTCCCTGTGG